TTAGGTTGGCAGGAGCCTGTCCCAAGCTCTCCTGCCAGTGTCCAGAAGAAGAAATGCTTGAGCCACCACTCAACAGCGGAAGTTGGATTCTTTTTCTTTTGCCTCATCACTACCTCAACCCATTTATGGAAAAAGCTAATTTTACACTATTACTTTCTGTGTTTTTCTTCAGTATTTCAAATGCTTTCTAATTTTTCAGATCACATGATTTCTTTAGACATGTAACTCCAGGGAATGCTAATTACACAGTTTAAGTGTCAAAAACTATTCTTAAATATATAGAGATTATGTAATTTATTATCATCTCTTGCCACTCTGATTACTGTATTCAAAACACTATTTGGAGGAGACTGGACCATGTCTTTCCTTCTCTCATCTTGATAAGAAAATAAGCCAACATAAGAATTCTTCTCATTGTGAACTTCCATTTTTTAATTCTGAAGTATGATTTTTTAAATGTGGTTGCAAATAGCTGCTTGCCTATTGAGCCTATGATACTTTATGTTGGCCTGAGAGAGAAGAAAGGATTCCCTGTATTTTCCTGTGAACTATCTGAGTGATAGTGGACAGAAACTATTTACCTGACTGAGCTGAAACTATTTACCTGACTAGCTTGCAAGTCAGTTTTAAGTTGAGTTTTTATACTACCTTCATCATTTTATCTATGTAAAGAGATCATACATTTAAGAACAGTATGCTTCTGACAGCAAAAACATACTTTTGTCTTCAATTCAAAGTAGATTAATCAGTCTATCCTTTTTCTGCTCCATTTGAATGACAGTATTTCAGATGATTAAATCCCAAGCTCATGAAATTTTCCTGGTTTAACCATAGGATGGAATTACAACTAAAAGATTATGAATTTCTTTTTTTAAAAATTAATAAATCTTTATTGTTCAGATTATTAGAGTTGTTCCTCTTTTTATCCCCCATAGCTCCCCCCCACCTGGTGCCCACCCCAATTTCTGCCCTTACCCCCGCCACCGTCTTCTTCCATAGACGTACAATTTTTGTCCAGTCTCTTCCCGCACTCCCCCGCCACCCCCCTCCCCTCCCCGAGAATAGTCAGTCAACTCCCTTTCTATGCCCCTGATTCTATTATATCCACCAGGTTACTC